AATTAAGGTTTTTTTGAAACTACTGCACAGGTTGTGCAGCTTGTACAGCCTCACAATTTCAGTCCTAAGAGCCATTTACTCATTAGGTTTCATGTTTATATATATAAAACATCTACTTCATATATATAAAGTTGGACTCTCATTATTTTTAATTAATGCTCCAAGGTTAGTTTAAATGTCAGTTTTTGTTGTTTTGCATTTTTTTTCACTTTTTCTCTGCATATCGGTGAATTGATAATTCTGGTCAAATTTGCAGATTATTTGGCCAGATCTAGAACAAAACAACTTTAAATGTAGTCAAATAATCTGCACGTTTGACCAGAATTATGAATGATGGATTCTATTAAATCTGTTTTTCTTTCAGGCTGATCTGAACTGATTTCCAATTGGTAATTCAAAACTTAATTATAAAACTGGCCAGAATTATGAAAATTGCACTACACAGCCTCAAAAAATACCTGTGCAATGTCTCATCTTTACCTCTGACACTATTAATGAAATCAATGTCTGACTGTTATATAGTTGGTTAGCTAACATCAGTCAGTTCTGATGAATCTGACCCAAAATTCTGGGGCTTTGCATAAATCTACGAAACATATCTGTATTAGAAATGATCAACAAGTTCTTTCGATTAAGTCTCTGATGATCAGTGATTATCATTTTATCAGCCTGATAAAAAATTCGATAAAAAAAAATGAAAATTACCAAATATTTAGCATTAAGGCCTTTAAATTTATATTGGGACACTAATCTTTGTACCTAAAAAACTTATTTTTACTATCCTTTGTTATAGCATCTTTGATTTTATAGATGTATGCGCTCATTTAAGTTTTTTTTAAAAAATATTGAATGATGAATAAGTCACGCGGACCAATCAATTCCAAGATTTTGCATTTGTTCGTAGGACCTACCTTTTAAAGTATTGTTCAGGGTGCTACACAAAGTCACGATGACAGATTACCCAATCATATGCTGAGAATTGTACACGCATATTTGAGTTGTCTGTAAACCATAAGTAGCTGCACAACATTGTCGCGTGAAACCAGGAACGGAATAAATCTACACAGACACCATTTCAGTTACGGGAAACCATATTCTTCATTGTAATCCATTCCTGGTATAAGAAAATAACTCTTTAGAAAAGAAGTTGATAGTACTTGCAATTTGAATATTGGTTTGAATTTTAGTGACTGAGCCTAAAAACCTATTAACGAAGTCAATGTCTAGCTAGTATTACTCAGTTCTGATGAATCTAACCCAAAATTCTGGGCCCTGCAAAAAACATTAAAATCTATGAAACATTACGTATTTAGAAATGATCGACAAATTCTTTCGATTAAGTCTTTAACGATCAGCGATTATCATTTTATCTGCCCGATAAAAAATTCGATGAAAAAAAATGAAAATTACAAAATATTTAGCATTGAGGACTTTAAATTTCCATTGGGTCACTAATTTTTGTGCCAAAAAAATTATTTTTACTATTGTTTGTTATTGCATCTTTGATTTTACAGATGTATGTGCTCATTTATAAGTTTTTTTTTTTACTGAACATGAATAAGTCACGCGGACCAATCAATTCCAAGACTCTGCATTCATTCCTAATACTACCTTTTAAAGCATTGCTCGGGGTGCTACACAAGGTCACGATGAAGGATAACCCAATCATATGCTAAGAATCGAACACACCATTTAACTCTTAAGTAAACCATACCCTAGTACGTATTTCATACACCGTTCCTGGTATAGTAAGGGCCCGTGTTCAAATCCATGACTAAATAAGAAAGCCTTAACACTTTAAATACAAGCAAGATATCGATGCAAAAAATTTATATAACGTACAAATTCAGAAATCATGAGATAAAGTCACAGGATCGGTCATCCAATCAGATCCAAGATTTTGTACATCCACATCTGAATCGCCTATAAACCATACACTACGTTGTACGTTGTACAAACTCCGTTCCTGGTATACACTACGTACTTCGGTTATTGTGTGTACAAATATGGAAATCCCAAGATGACTAGATGCGAAATTGACAAATCACTTAACTTACCAGTAAGCAAGAATTTTAGTTACAGGTATAGAAAACTTATCGTTATACAATATTCATAAGTCACAAATCAGTAATACGGACAGAACCATAAAAATTCATACACGTATCGGTATACTAGTTTAAAAGCTACGTTAACGAATGGTGGGTTTTATTTTTTAAATCAATAACCAAAGAAATTTTGTCATATAATAGCCAAGAACAATTTTTTGATCACGCAGCGTCTCATTTGTATTTTTTTTTTCGTAAAAGCATTTAAACCAGAGTTCTCAAACCTGCATATGGCTTGTTCAACCAAAAATCTAGACATGCATGGTATGAAAACTCAGGCATGTGTATGAACACGAACATAAAAATTTGGCGTGGTCACAGACATTGTACAAAAACTTGGCATGGGGTCAAAACAATGTTTTGGCAATTATTTATTATTTTAGCCGATCTAGCATTGTTATTATTACCGTTATTGTCATGTTCATTAATACTAGATATTTAAGTTCAACAGCTCATTTTCCAAATTCTTTATTTAGATATCTAAAAAGAGGTAATTAAAATTATTCGTATAACTGGTTTGAGATTACTTTGGCACAATTATTATAATAAGGTTACTCATCCGACATTTTTACTAGTACCTCAATTTTAGGCTTTCGTTTCTGTTTTTTCATTTTTTGCGTCGGTAAAATTAGTCGCCTAGAGATAAAACCGATTTACCAAACGACTTAATATGAATTTTATCAATTATTCGAATAAAATTTTGATTTTAAGCAATTAAACTAAACATCTTGTTATCTTAATATATGTCGCCTGATTATTGGATTTGTCATTTGATATCGATATATATTGTTGATGCAACAGTAATTTAAATGAGAAATTATTAATATTACCAATCATAGAAAATTTACACAGTAATCTATATTTAAGGCACCACAATGATAGTAGGACAGTGTAATGAATAATAACTTATATATCATTTTAATATTTATTGATTGGTAATACACCTTTCCGGAGGTTACATTTTTTTTACTGAGGGTGTTCTCAAGCGTCTTAATCAATTGGACAAAATGTGTCGGGGAATAAATTTTACTTAGCGGAAAATATTTTAAGGGAATCAAAAGTGTTTAGCATCGCAATGAATATTTAGATAAACATTGTAGTTTAATAAAGTTTATACGTAATCAATAAATTTTTATTAGTAAAAATTATTACGCGAGTTTATCATTTCCCACCTTTTTTTTATCCCTGGGTTGGCAAAATTTACAATTAATTGAGTATTCAAAGAGATCGCACAAGTAACCTTATCAGTAACCTTATCATGCAACGACCGAATATCAACGAAATAAATGTAGTGATAACGGCATTTGATAAAATATTAGTGTATCGCTCAAGCATCAATTGCAATTCTTATTATAGTAAATGAGCATCGTCACATTTATTGGCTAATTGCATAGAGAATAACGTTTGAGCAAACTTTGATTACTTCATAATTTGCATATTCGATTCGTTATCAAAATTTCTATATAAATATAATTACCGCTGTGCACTATTACGATCACTAGCTAATCACATTAAAGTTGAGGCTTGAGAACACCCTGAATCTCAGATTAGCAATAGCAAAATCAAAATTTAAGAATTGATAATTAATTCAAGTCATAAAACTTGAGCATTGGGCAGATTATTTATTCGGTCAACATATTTAAACCTATTTCTTAAAGTTTTATATTAAAACTTATGATATAAAATTCTATAATCCTGATTAATCCCTAACATTTCACTTATGATTGATTTTAATAGTTGTTATTTATGACCGCTGCTGTCGTTATCACTTTGAACTTTCAAAATAGCAACCGTTTCGCTTGCCACTTTTAAAACTTGTTTTTTTCTTCATTATTGTTATCCAAGCGAAGTAACACGTAGGCTTTTGTTGAATAGCGTTCCATAATTGTGACCATTATTACCTTGTTCACTATCACAAATATCATCACTTTTATTATATATTTGATTAGAAGTATTTAATAATAGTCGCGACTGATACTGAAATTTGAAGTCTCAATTTGAAAATACTAAAATCCACATATACAGTTTAATTATTAATTATAGCCAAAAATCCTAAACAAACACTGGAAAAAATATGCAGAAAATTAATACCCAAAAGCATAAAATTTTATATAAATTTCAGCATAAACTGTGACAATAATTAACTGATTTCAAGGTATAAAAATTCAGTTAATATTAGCATAAACTTACTTTGTATCATGAATGCCAAAATTATAATATTTATTAAAGTTTATTAAATCCAATTTTTAAATTTTGATTCATTTTTCCTATCGTATAATTAATATAGATGTATTTAACAAGTAAATTGAACCCACAGAGAAAAATTGATTGAATTAAATGTTTATTAAAAGTGCATAGATATTTAAATGTAAATATATTAACCCATCTCTATAGTTCCTTCCTCTTCATAAATACGATTTTTTGAACTGTTCATAAAAATTTGAATGGGAAAAATCGCGGGCGTTAAAAACTTTTAGAATTAGCATGCCGTCTTACCGTTACATAATACACGATAAATTTTCCAATCACAAGTATAAATTTACCCATGCATTTGGAATGAATCTATTAATGTATAAACTTTTAAAATGCACACCCTAAATTGCAAAATTCTCAAATTCATTATAAGAACTCGTTCCAATAATAAAATCAAATTCTTCAAAGATTGGCAGTGAGACATATATATAGTGGATGTCCATAATATTTACATCAAAATGCATTCCTATATTGGAAAATCATTGAGAACGCGCTTGAGCTCATCTTATAGTATGCAGTTTTAAAGACTGCAAAATTGCCTTTGCACATTTTATATAAATATAGCTTATGGTTTGACATTTACATTTTTTTTTAAAAAAAAAAATCTCTACAATTGCATAATTATATAAATAAAAATAAATGATGGCTTATTTCGTTAATAAAGTATACATACTTATACTTGTTTTTGGACTCATTGCAGCGGTAGCAACGATCCATCCTAATGAAGTTGCAAACAACCGCTTTGACATAAGAAATTTGCATAAACGAGACTATACTACTGTATTCACAACATATGTTACAACGTCAACGTATACCACATCTTCTCTACTTTGTTCCGAATGTGCACCACCACCTTATACCACATATGTTACGTACACCATATTTACTAAAGTAGATACATTAGTAATCTGGATACCACCACAAACAACAGAATCACCATCATCACATACAACAGAATCACCATCACCACATACAACAGAATCACCATCACCACATACAACAGAATCGCCATCACCACATACAACAGAATCACCATCACCACATACAACCAAATCACCACCGCCTACAACAGAATCACCGCTACCACCACCTACAACAGAATCACCAACACCTACACCGGAATCACCAACACCTACACCGGAATCACCAAGACCTACAACAGAATCACCACCACCTACAACGGGATCACCAACACCTACACCGGAATCAGAAACACCTACACCGGAATCAGAAACACCTACACCGGAATCACCAAGACCTACACCGGAATCACCGAGACCTACACCGGAATCACAAAGACCTACAACAGAATCACCAACATCTACACCGGAATCACCAAAACCTACAACAGAATCACCACCACCTACAACAGAACTACCAACACCTACACCGGAATCATCAAGACTTACAACAGGATCACCGCCGACTGCAACTGAATCAACGCCACTTACAACTGAATTATCACCTACACCGTCGACAGAATCATTGACAGCACAATCGACAATTCTATTGTCAACCCCATCGACTGCCATATCGTTAACACAATCTACTAATTTACCGCCAACATCAAGTGAAGCTAGGTAATTTTTTTCTTAGTCAAAATATTTCATATGAAATATACTATATTAATTTATATTAATTTTTTTTTAAATATCAATCTCTAGTCCAGCAATTACAACTGCCACTAAGTCAGCAGCAAGTTCCTTATACAATGAATTAACTACCTTCAATATCGCAATTTGGTTAATTAGTTTTACTTTTATTATTAATCAATTAATTTAAAACGTCTTAAAAAACATATCTTATTATAACTTATTGTGATAACTGATTAATATGATTAATTTTTATTATCAAAATTTTATACATATTTATATCTTAATAAACATTTATTTACTGGATTGTCATATCTTTTTTAGCATTTCATTTTTCAAAACATTAATGCCTTTATTGTTAGTTGTAGGGATTACATATGTATGTACCTGGCTCTTGTACAAAAACCGTCAGTTCGTATTTTGTGACTTTAGTTTGCCAAATCAGTGATGTAATGATGTTTATAAGAAAATGAATAAATATTGATAGAAGATTCAATCTGTATATGCAGTCATGCTTAAAAGTTTGTGAAATCAAATTTTAAATTTTGAACTATTTTTTTTTAATTTTTCTATCGTATAATTAATAGATATATAGATAAAATCAGATTGAACATGCAAAGTTGATGAAATTAAATGTTTATTAAAATGTGCATAAAACATTTAAATGTTAATATTGCATACGAAAATATATATTATTACTGCTCAATAAATAGATCTTGTTATGTAAATACCTTTTTAGAACTAAAATTAGATTTGTGTGATGCATTATCAAAAAGGGTCTTTCATTTGAATATTTTTAGCACAGAATGAATTTATATGTCTATAATTCATTCTTACAATGCATGTATGCTAAGATTAGTTTGGATATATGATGCACCATTTAGCATAAATGAATCAAATTAGGATTCTACAGAAAATATTTGTATTAAAGTCACTTTTAAATTCTTAATTTTGCATGCAGGCAAAGGAGATTTACGTATATATAATATTCCATATGATATCTGCCATTTGTACCTATAAAATTACTTTAGACAGTAACCCGTTTTTCAACTTTCATTTTGCTCTTCTCATTAAGTTGGATCCATGATTACAATATAGGAAACCAACTATGACCATCACATGACGCAGAGACGATAGAATTGTTTATTTGATCAACCCGAAGAGACAAAAACAGTCTAAACTCATCTCGATGAAATAATAAAAAATGTCGGGAGGACAGTTTTACTATAAGATATGCTGATCCCAACCCAAACTAACCTTACCCTAACATTAATTAAAAAATCAAAAACATATTACTGGACACGTCCCCCTTAAATGTTACTTCAAAAATTTCCATATTTGGCCTATGATATATATATATATTTTATTACAATAATTTGTCAAATAAAAATTTTATATATTATTTGATATATAATTTAATTCAATAATCGTAAAATTTAAGCAGTCTCTCATGACTAGCCTTGGTGACACTGGGAAACAAAACCGTTAGCGAAACGACAGATTACACCTAGTATAATATAATAAACATAAGATAATTTATGCTAATCAATTTATTAAAAAATGTGACTATTAGGTGCGATTAATCGTCAACTAAGTTTCCAACTAATTCAGTATTTATCTGAAAATTTTTGACAAAGCTTGGACGCTATCTCGGACCAATGTTCATAGGGCATGATATCGGAACTTTCTGGTGCAATTCTACCCTTTTCCATTTCGATTTGACGTTTTTCATGAAACTTGAAATCATCTAATATTGATGTTCTATTTTGATAATAGAAAAATTTCTTTAACATTTCGTGTCCAGCTTCAGGAAACAGTTCTTGAGTATCACGACTATTTGTGACAGGTTTATTTTCGTTGTTTCTATATATGTCCCATGAAATTTAAGCTCAATCATTAATTGAACATTATGTGAAAAACTACATGATGGTTAAATTCAGCAATACATACATTATTCTAATATGCCTTAGTTGACTGTTGGGAATATCTTTAACGAAAATCCATTTAACTCTAAATTCGCCCTTAAATTTATCATGTCCCCAAACATCATTATTTGTTACATGATCCACCGAAGAAACCATTTCTGCCATACCACAGAAATGTCCACTAAATTAAATTGCAGTAATAGATACGAATAAATAATAAAATTTAATAAATATATCAGAAATTAAATAAACAAATTGTCATAAATTGCATATTATTCACCTAGCATTGACACTAAAAAACAAATAAATTGGGCCTTTATCCGCATTATCACGAAATGCCATATCCAAACGACTATTCCCAATTTCCGTGCTGCGCCAAATTCCATACTAATAAAGACAAAAATTATACTGTATTAAACAAAATCGCACTATAAATAAAATCACACTATAAATAAAAGTTGACATCATGAACATACTTTTATTGATGCATGAACCTCATCCTCGCTATAAGATTTCATTACGAAAAATCGTGCCTACATTAATGATAATGATTAAAATTATTTAACAGAATATTAATGTTAAAAGAAGATGCTATGCATTTAAAATAACACTTACGTTTGATGGCTTGCAGTTAAATTTATCTGGGTTATATTTATTAGCTGTATATTGAGCTGAAAAAGTGGAAATAGGTTTCATACTGATTGGTGTTATAGGTCCGGTATTCGAATTGGTTTTATCATGATAAGCGTCAATAGGAGCAGAAATTGACACATCTGCATACATTGATGTAGGTGAAACAGCTGTAGAAAATGATTGAATTCTGGGGGCTGCTTTGTAAATGGCATTCAGAGCTGTTGGCTGTCTTAATGTTTGAACGGTTTTATCATGACAAATATATGATGCAGGTGAAACAGCTGTTGATGTTGGAGTCTTGGTACTTTTTTTGTAAATGCTACTTCGAGATTTCGGTAAACTTGTTTCATCAGAGCAAACATCTGATGCTGGCGAAACAGCTGTGGAAGACGATGGAAACCTGGTGGATTTTTTATTAACGGCATTTCGAGATTTTGATTTTCTTGGCGCTTAAACGTTAGAAATAATAAGGTATGGAATTTCAAAAGTTTATATAAATATAAGAGACACAAGTATTTACATAAATCTTCTTTGTAAATTTTTTTGATAGTTTAAATACATAGAATATACGGATTATTAAATTAATAGAACAATGTATCACACTTACCACTTAAAGCTGTGTCATTTCCTGGTGGCAATATAACAATAGAAGTTACTCGTGGTGGTAGAATGGTTGAAGTAATAGCCTTATTTGGTGTTAAGAATTTTGTAATAATATCAACCCACAGATTAGGTTCGAGGATTCGTTGATATGGATATAATTTTTCCATAATATCATCACCAGTAATTTGAAAGTACCGAATGTGTGGTAAACAATTTTTGAGAACAGTTTTTAAAGTTAAAAAATTTTCATCAGACCATTGAGTAGGATTAGAATCAAGATCAGGACTTTGGGCCAATCCCCATCTAATGACTTGATCCCAAATTTCTCCTTCATCCATTTGTAAGTTATCATGTTTCAAGAGAGAAATCAAAGCATTTTCTGAAAGAGTTATAAAATCCTCAGAATTAAATAGAATATCCGGATTTTTAACAATAACATTATTACAAAACTGTTGCAAAACTTCAAAGTTATCACTTTCAAAACTTATTTTATAAATGCAAGAGAAATTTTGATGTATCCAGGTAGTATGACCATTAACCAGTTTTAATTGTACACGATTAGTCAACTCTTCAAGACCAAATTCATTAGCAGTGGTTAAAAGACCAAGGAGTGTAGGTTCATCAATTTCATCATATGTAACAATACCACCATAAATATACCTATATATTAAAAGGAAAAATTTTTAATGGTTCAAAAAAATAATTCAATAGAATAATAATAACCTAATAATGATTTCAAAATTGGCGACAGAAATATGTGTATTGTTGAATTTTTTAATATCATCTGTTTTGTTATCAACAACCAATTTATCACGAAAATAAGAACATCGAGAATTTAAGATAATTGAATGCGCCTTGAAAGTTTTATGATTCGGTGTTTGACCAACTTCAATTAATGTATCATGATTTTCTCCAGTTTCAAGAAGATTTATTAAATCGCTAGAAAGTTTTTTAAAGAACGCAGGCATTTTGCGGAAACGCTATCTATTACTATCGTCATATCCACATCAATATTTGTATAATCCATTGTTACTATTTCGGGATTTTACTTGGTTTATCTTCATAGTTAGGTAGCCTGTGTTGTACATTTTTTGATATTCCGTCCAAAAATGGAGCTCTAGTCGTGTAATATAAGATCAGTGAGAAAAAAAATCAAAGCATGTGATTTATTTGGTTTATCAGAATCCAATTTTTACCCCTTTATCTACTTAGCATTAAGGGGTTTCAAATTAAAATCAGAGAAACTTATTTATTTTTCCGATTTATAATTTAAACATAGTAAAAATGCTGTTAAAAAAATCCTACTTATTTTTGAAACCCCTTATTATATGAATTTTCAAGTTAATATTAACAGGTTAACGGATGTTTGTTATACCGCGTTTCTACTGCCTAATTTATCTTCGTTTACTCACTTTGATTATAATTGTTATCTTTTACTTGGAGTTATTTTTTTAAAAAAAATAAACATTAAAACTAGTTAAACAAAGATAACAATAATAAAATTATATTTTTACTATTTATATATCATCTGTTTATTCATTATATTGGTTCAATCTTAAAGAAAACTTAATAAAAGAAATATTTAATCATTATTGATAATACGTCAATATTAAATTAAAAGTTTTTTATATTATTGTTTATACTTGCAATCAAATAAGATAAAAATGTATAACAAAAATAATATTATTATATTTTAATTAAAAAAATAAACAATTATTTGAATATAGCAATATAGAAAGCATATAAGCATATTCAAATCCAATATTTTACAAATAAAAAAAATATAAATAAACTTTTTAATAAAATTTAAAATATTAATTATATTACACACAAAGTTAAATTGCATTTAAATATTATTTTATATAATATAGTCAATCTTCTGACTTAACAAAACTGAAATCAAACTTAATTTTGATTATTCTATTTATTTACTTTTTTTACTTGAAACCAAATATTAATTACTTATAAATTATATAGATTTTATATAAATTTGCTTTTAATCTAAACATTTAACAAACTTATTCAACTTAAATTACTATAAAATTTTCTATTATAAATATTCTACTATTAGTTTAAATTGACAATTTTTAAAATTTTAATTTTAATTTATATTTTCTTAAAAACAAAATATTTTTAATAACTTACAAACAATATATAATTGAAATATTTACTATTTACTTTTTTATATAATTTTAAATTGTTTATGCTATAATCAATATGTAAATATTAAATATCTATTTCAATATTTATCTATTTTAATAATTTACAAGATACTCTTATTAATAAAATTTCTAATACTTCAAATTTACTAAACTTATCAGATGTATTAACTTATTTAATAATGTAAATTCTTAATTTACAGATTATTTTTATAAATCTATTATATATAATATTTTTTATTTATTTTGAATATAATAATTCTTAACTAATATAAATAATTTTAAATAATTTTTAAAAAACCAACTAATAATCTTTATATTTTTATTCAATTCTTTATTCAATTAACTTAATATCTTTATTTGATAAATTAAAAAAAAATAACATATAATACAAATAGAAATTAATATAAAAATTTATTATTTTTATTAAAAGAAAAAATAATAATTATTCATTTTTATTACAATTTTTTAATTTTAATAATAATATAATACTTTGTATATCTATTTTATATTAATTAGTTGATCTTAGTTTTGTTCATCATAGATTTTTATATAGGTATGACCAGAATTTAAAGTAATAGCTTTTTTTAATATATATTAACTTTTAAAATTTTCTTTTTTATAGTTAAATTATTTGTTATATTAGAGGTGTTTTTAATTTTAGTTGTTAGTCTTTTATTATAAACTATTTTTATGTTTATTGTTTTATTTATCATTTTAGTTTTGGTTATTTTCAGGTTACTCTCAATTAAATTCACATTTTAATTTCCAATTAGAACTAATTTATATAATTTATTAATTATTCTTTCAAGTAAATATCTCACAAATTAGATACAGAAATATTGGTATTGCTTATATTATAAGGTATAAAAATGGCAGTGCTAATCTAAGCTTAAAAACTTATATGCACAATTTTTCTATAACTGTAAGCTTCTGTAATACTGCTGTTACATATAGTGGCAATATTTTAAAATTAGGTCTTTATTTAAAAATTTCTTTTTATTTCAAATTCATATCTGCACTAGAACTTTTTTACAGAATTTTATATCTAATTAATAATATTAATAGATTATAAAAACAAAATTGTTTTTAATCTAACTTGAACTATTAACCTTGTCTATAAAGAGTTTAGATGCTTATTTACTAAGTTATAAGCCTTAAACTCTTATTTAGCTTATTTATTTTTTTTTAGTTTTTTTTTTTAGTGTGACCTCTTTGGTCTTTTGACTTTATTAATTATTTATTAGTATTGTAGTTCAATGAACTACTACAAAAGAGCATACAATTGGTTATACATATAATTTTTCTATATTATATATTTAAGAAGTTCACCTGAAGGTTCTCTACTAATTGCTATATCTAACACTCCTGCTTGGGTGTTCTACTTTAAACCATCTGAATCTGTAACCTGTATTAACTTACTAAGTCATACTCAGATGCTTAGATTATCATCTTAACCTTGGAACTAATTTATTCTTGAAATAAACCTCTCAGAGCCTTCTGTATCTATTTTTATAGCTGAACTAGGTATTACTATAGCAGAACCAGCACTTGTGATCAGGGCTTAACTATTAAATTACTATGTCTTTGTAGAGTTTACTTAGATCTTAGCATCTACTTTACAGCATAATCCTGGTATTTTACTATATATCTACCTTTTTACCTGCCTTTTTACTAAACTCCCAATTCAGATAGCTTATGTAGGACTATGACCAGTTCATCAGTATATTAGTTCAACCTAATATCCTTTTCTTCTAGTTCATTTGGCAGTCTGGTTAGTGGTAATCCCAAAACTCCTAACATAGAGGTTCTTGCTTACCTGGCTACTATGACTGGATACTATGATCTTAATATCTGTTTTCTTGGGCTAGACTTTACAGTAAGGCTGTTAAAGATCCAGCTATCTCTTTATTCAGGTCTTCTTAAATGAACTTCTTGTTACCCAATTTCAATAGATTTACATGGCCATAAGAACTTATTTAGTGTTTACACTATCTAATTTATTAGTTTGTATTCCTCTGTATAATGCTATACTTACAAAGATGACCATGACCTGTCAGTCATATTGATGTAATTGCCATTACAGGTATCCTAACCTAATTATTAGTAACAGTTACCATAATACAAATATTACATAAGTGATTTTCTAAATTTTTGCTATCAATGGGATTTGAACACATAACCTACAACTTGGAAAGTTGACAACCTGACCACTTTACTAGGTTATCACATCTCCATTTAGCTTATTTAATAAATTTAGTTTTTTAAAATTAATTAATAAAATTAGATGTAATAGCTTAGTAAACTAGATAAAGTTGTTAATTTTTTAAATAATATGTTGTAAAATCAAAACTTATCTATAGTAAAAATTTTAATAATTATTTATATAATATATAAACAGTATTATAACAATAACATTTTGGTTTTCTTTTTATTTGTACTTAAGTTAGTTATATATAGTTAGCAGTTTAATAGTTAGCCCTAACTGCAAGTGTTGGCCTCAACTATAGCATTTATATATAGAAGTATGTTTGTATATAGTAACTCCATGAAGTTACTAATTTTAAAAACTACCAATAAAGATATGAGCAAGGCCTTACTTTAATACCAAAAAAAAAAAACAATAGCATTTTGTTAATTAGTTGGAATAAGATATCTGTAAC